TACCATCGACTGCTATTGGTGGTAAAACACCATTAGAGAAATGGTTTGGAGTACCTGCTACAGATTATGATTCCTTACATGTGTTTGGTTCCACTGCATACTACCATGTTAAGGAGTCAAAGCTGGATCCAAGAGCAAAGAAGGCGATTTTTATGGGGATCACCTCTGGTGTGAAAGGCTATCGTCTTTGGTGTCCAGAAACAAAGAAAATAATCTTCAGCAGGGATGTTACCTTTGATGAATCTACCATGTTGAGAAAGGTGACTTCAGAAAAATTGGAGCAGACAGATGGAACTCCCAAAAAGGTGGAGTTTGAAGGAAGCAAATTTGTCCCAACCAGTAAAGAAAATGATGTTGACTCTCCTATGGTAGAAGAAGAGTCAGATGAAGAAGAGGTTCAGACCCAAGAACCTCCACAGCAACATGAATCAATTGCACTCAGAAAGGGAAAGAGGACCATTAGACAACCTGCTCGTTATGCTGATATGGTCTCTTTTGCATCACCAATTGCAATTGATGACGTTCCTGCCACTTTTAATGAAGCAGTTCAAAGTTCAGAACATAAAAAGTGGAGGATTGCCATGAATGAAGAAATGCAATCCCTTCAAAAGAATCAGACGTGGAAACTAGCTAGTCTTCCGAAGGGAAAGAAGGCAATTGGGTGCAAGTGGGTATATGCAAAGAAAGATGGATTTCCTGACAAGAATAACATCCGCTACAAAGCAAGATTGGTGGCTAAAGGCTACGCTCAAACGGAGGGAGTTGATTATAATGAAGTATTTTCTCCAGTTGTAAAACATTCCTCCATCAGAATTTTGTTGGCTTTGGTAGCGCAGTTGGATTTGGAACTAGTTCAGATGGATGTAAAAACTGCATTTTTACATGGAGACTTGGATGAGGAAATCTACATGACTCAGCCAGATGGATTCAAAGTTGCTGAAAAAGAAGAGATGGTGTGCAAATTAGAAAAATCGTTGTACGGATTGAAGCAATCTCCAAGGCAGTGGTACAAGCGATTTGACAAGTTTATGATAGGGCAGAAGTACACAAGAAGCAAATATGATCATTGTGTGTATTTACGTGAGCTAGAAGACGGATCCTATATATATCTTCTTCTTTATGTTGATGATATGCTGATAGCTTCCAGGAGTCAGACAGAAATTGCGAAACTAAAGACTCAATTGAACAGGGAGTTTGAGATGAAGGATCTTGGTGAAGCGAAGAAGATTCTAGGCATGGAGATATCAAGGGATAAGAAATTGGGGAGGCTTGTTTGTCTCAGAAAGAATATCTGAGGAAGGTACTAAAACGTTTTGGCATAAATGAGATGTCAAAACCAGTTAGTACACCTCTTGCTCCTCATTTCAAGCTCGGTGCATCCATGTCACCTAAGGATGATGCAGAACGGGAATACATGTCAAAGGTTCCGTATGCAAGTGCTGTTGGTAGCTTGATGTATGCAATGGTGTGTACGAGACCCGATATTTCACAGGCAATTGGGGTTGTGAGCAGGTATATGCATGATCCTGGAAAGGAGCATTGGCAAGCTGTGAAATGGATTCTGCGGTATATTCTAAACACCGTAGATGTTGGTTTGGTCTTTCAGCAGGACAAACAAGATGGTCAGTGTGTAGTTGGGTATTGTGATTCAGACTATGCAGGTGATTTGGACAAGCGTCGATCAACTACTGGTTATGTGTTTACATTTGCAAAGGCACCAGTCAGTTGGAAGTCCACCTTACAGTCAACAGTGGCTTTGTCTACTACAGAGGCAGAGTATATGGCAGTTACAGAGGCTGTGAAGGAGGCAATTTGGCTTCAAGGGTTGCTTGGTGAATTGGGAATAGAACAAAAGCACATCAAAGTGCACTGTGACAGTCAGAGTGCTATTCATTTAGCAAAGAACCAGGTTTACCATGCAAGGACGAAGCATATTGATGTTCGATATCACTTTGTACGAGAGATTCTAGAAGAAGGTGGAGTCATAATCCAGAAGATTCGGACCACTGAGAATCCTGCTGATATGTTGACAAAAGTGGTAACTGCGGTCAAGTTTAAACATTGTTTAGATTTGGTCAATATTGTTACAAATTAAAAGATTGTTTTTTAGAGATGTGTGTGGAATTTGCCAAGGTGGAGATTTGTTGGTTTTTGGCAAAAGTCCCACATTGGTTGTGTATAAGGAGGAGGGGAAATTCTTTTGTTATAAATAAAGCCCTCCTCCTCCTTAGTTAATCATCCCACAAAATATAAGCCTTCTTCTATTTTAAAGGCTATTTGTATTCTTTCTCTCTTTGTAATATTTCCTCTATTAGTGAAATATTTTGGTGTTCTCTTTTATGTCTATTTAATAGCTATTGTCGGGTATAGTTGTTGTCAATTATTGTCCTATTAAAATTACTTGTCTTGGTAGTTCTGTCTAAGGAAAGTGGGTTTTAAGAGGGACCATTGTGACCCCTCCTCTTTTCCTGGGAATCTACCTTGGGGTGATTTTTAGTACAATCGTTTTCACACTAGTCACCTAGATAATAGTTTTCACGGTGAATCTGTTATTGGTGGAAATTAACCCGAATTTCACAACAGCTACCACTGAGATTATTGTTCTTCAAATTCATGGAAAATATGTTTGGCCAACTCGTCCAACAGTCAGGAATCTGTCCAGATAGATAATTTCAGCTAAATGAAGAGTTCCCAAGCTCTTTGGTTCCTCCATCTTGCAGCACAAGGGTGACATCGACCCTGAAAACGAATTGTTCGAAAGATCTAACGTTCCGACATTGGATAGCAAACAGGGTGATGAACCCCGGAGGAAACTAGAGCTCAGATCAATGGATGATGCATAACAAGCTGGAGGATTTGTATTGAGAATTTGAGCGACTTTCCCTTATATTTGATTGTGAGAAAGATTCACATAAAAGAAATGAGATGACAAGTTCCAAAACCAGTCAGGAATTGTATCAACGATCCCTGCATCGGATATATCCAGAAACAGAAAATCTTTCTGGAAACGTAGCCAATGGGGAAATCTCGGCCCTAAATTCCATGATGACAAAGCTATAGTCCCGAGTTGGAAAGGTTTCCAGGACTCACTTTCAAACTCAGTCCAGGATTTCCAGAAGCCTGAAGTATTTCAATCTCGTGACATTAGAGAAATGAACCTCAGTAACCACATCCTCTAACATATTTTCACCAATCCATAAGACTTCCAGTTCTCTAAGCTCCCGTGGAACCTATTTTCTTATAGGTCCACTTGTCTCAAGGATGCAAATGTTCTTAATGAGTCTGGAACTGGACCCGAAATGGAATTCTTCAAGACATAAAGATCGCGTAGATTTTTGAATTGATCAAGTTGATTGCTAAGATGACCGGAAAGTTCACAATTAGTCAGAAACCATGACTCAAGTCTACCAGACAGGCATCCTGACAGAGATTCTAAGACATCTGATATGTCTTGACTCAATCTGACACCAGACAGAGCAAGAGTTGTCAAGCTGCACAGGTTTCCCAACGATCTTAATGCTGCTCAATGGAGATTGTTGTGGTCAAAGGTGAGGCTTATGGCAGATGTCAAGTTTCCAACATCCTCCGAAATTGTTCATTGTAGGTTGTAATCAAGATTGAGGTATTGAAGACGGTTCAAACTGTACAACCAATAGGGTATCGATGAATTGAATCGGTTCCTCAAAAAGCTGAGATATGTAAGAGAGGTCATGTTTCTTAGACCGTCAGGGAGATGACCCTGGAAACTGTAATAACTAAGATAAATGAAACCTGGGAAGTAAGGGTAAAAATCCAGCTAAAAATAGAGTTACTAAATGTGTTGTAGGAAAGATCCAGGGTTCCTAGAGATGAAAAATTATCAATTGGATAGACTTATGACAATTAAAGAAGGGAGAGCATTCGTCACTTCGAACCAATCGGAGGCTTTGCTGAGAGTTATGCCACTCAAAGAAAGGAATTTCAGCTTTGTAAGATTGGTAAGCCATTGAAGATTCTCTGCATAGAGATAGTCAGATAAAATATCATGGAATCCATAATTAGAGAGGTTGAGATATCTGAGGTTGTGTAAAGAACCTAGGAATCCTGGAATCTGTCCTCCAAAATTGTTGCCACTCAGATCCAGGTACTGCAAATGTTTCAAATCAAGCAAAGAAACCAACTCACCATTAAATCGAGATTGTTCGAAAGTCTTTGCCTGGGGCAGCCGTATCATTGTTCGAATGGTGGAGATTTCCGAGACGAAGCTCAACGACACGCGCGGTTACATTGTCACGTACAAGTCCATTTCAGTCACAACAGTTCCAACTTTCTTTATATTCAAAGAAGAGTTTCTTGGAATCAGATTTCTTTAGATTTCAAAACTAGAAAACTCAAGTAAAACAACTCTAAGAAAACAAAAGTTCCAACTTTCCTGGAATCGTCCATGATCATGCAAAATGAAGCAAAAGAAGAGTTGGTGAATTTGTCTTGTTCATCTTGAAACTTATTTATATTCAAGTATCCTGCATTAGAGGTGCAGCATGGAAAGACTCTTTCTAGTTTTAATTTATTATTATATCATGGTTCGAATGGTTCGACGAATGCATGAACAACGATTGAAGCAAAGTTGATACCTAAAAAAAAAAAAACGGCACATCAAGTATTTCATATCTTTAGAGCTGAAATTTTATTAAAATTAACTATAAAAAAATGATACCTAAAAAGACAAAGAATCTGATACATAAAACAACCTCGAAATCCTAATAATAATTACTTCTAATCCTAATAAAATCGCGAGCAGTGTCGGTGAATAAAATATCTATTCGTGCAAAGATTATGCTACAAATTTCATCCACCGCCCGAAAAGCATCACAACATATTTATCAATCTGTATGGAATCATTATATTTTGGTGTTGCATTCCAAATCTGTTCAAAACACCCGCTGTGATAACTCTCCATCGAACACCAACACCGCTTATCTCTTCTCACAATATAGGGGTAATATTTCGGAACTTCGCAAATGCTCAAAGGAGTCGACGGAATTGGACTAACCACAATTGTTGGTGGTGGTGCTTCAATGGATGGATTTGGTTTAACCATTGTTGGTGGATTTTGCGGTTGTGGGTTTGGTTTAATCACCGATGGTGATGGTGCTATGGACGGATTTGGTTTAACCATTGTTGGTGGATTTTGAGGCTGTGGGTTTGGTTTAATCACTGGTGGCGGTGGCGACGACACTGGTGGAGAAGGCGATGATGACGGTGACGATGGTGGTGGTGACAACAACGGTGATGATGGTGACAACGGCGACGGCGGTGGCGACAATGGTGGTGGCAATGGCGGCGACGACACTGGTGGCGAAGGCAATAACAGCGGTGATGATGGTGGTGGTGGCGACAACGGTGACGATGGTGACAATGGTGATGATGGTGACAACGGCGACGACGGTGGTGGTGGTGGCTGCAATGGGTTATTATAGGATGGTGGAGGCGATGATGGACAAACACAAAACAATATGTAATACACATTGAATTTTGTTTGATTATTTGGTAAGAAGAGTGACAAGGTGATGAACAATAATTATAACAATAAGCATGAGCGGCACCAGCATCGCAATTTGATTGTGCATCCCCTAGATGTAATATGGATGTAAACAACACCAAAGCTAACAACTTAATAATTAAACCTCCCTCCATCTTTTCTTTTCACTTCTCACAATCTCTTCTATGCTATTTTAATTTAATTTTGTATACATAACTTCACATTTATATACCGAAAGTACAAGATGTATACTCTATCTAAAATGTTATCTTTTTTTATTTTTTAAATTGACTGTTATAAGTTAGGTTTAAGATAACAATTTGATTATCACTCATTTATTTTGAAATTTTCAATTAAATTTATCATTTCACTACCTATATAATTTTATGTATAACATTTTTAAATAAATATCAGTTCCTAGTTTAAGTATAATTATATTTATTTTTGTGTTTTAACAATTAAGTTTAAATATTTATTTTTAATGATAAGTATGTAGTGAAAGATCTTATGGGATAATTTTATGAAATTTCAAATTTGTTTAGTTATTTGAATAATTTTTAGATAATGTTTTTAAATGATAGTTAAAATTTGTGTCAGATTTTACTAAATTTTAATTTTTTATTAAAATATAATTTATTAAGATATTATTTAAATTATGATAATTTTTAAATATATTTAATATGACGACTAAGATATAATTTTAAGGAAATTTTTTTAATAATAATTAAGAAAGATAATATAAATTCTTACGGTAAAATTTCAACCTTTGTATAATCTAATAAAACCTTAACTATCATTGTTTATGCATTGAAAATAATAAAATATTTTGAATTAATTTCATGTAAATATATTTTGGCACAAATTTCGTACTTCTTTCAATTTTGAATCTCTTTACCACCTTTACAATGGTTTTCAAATCTTGTTATTGAAAGTGGAGGAATCCACTTTTTTAAGGTTTTAAATTCGTTGCATGAAAATTGAAACCGCAAACAAACCCTGCAAATGCAATTGCTCGACTTATTTAACATTTTAAAGTTGGAATGGTGCGTGTATACAACATCAATTAACTCAGGTTTTCAATAAGATCAAGGTGATTGCTCATGTGACCGAAAGATCACAGTTAACCAGAAACAAGAACTCGAGTCTATCAGACAGGCATCCTGACTGAGATTCTACGACTTGTGAATTGTGATATGTCTTGACTCAATTTGACACCATGATAGAACAAGATTTGCCATGCTGCAAAGGTTTCCCAAGGATCTTAAGGCTTCTCCTTCTAGATCGTTGTTGGCTAAGATGAGGCTTAATGCTTGGTCAAGTTTCCGACTCCCTCTGAGATTGTAGCTCGCAAGTTAATGGACTCGAGATTGGGGTGCTGAAGATGGTTCAAACCATACAACTGACCGGGCATCGGTGAATTGAATCGTTTGCTTGCTAAGCTGAGATAGGTATGAAAGGTCATGTTGCTTAGACCATATGAAAGGTCATGTTGCTTAGACCATCAGAGCAGTAAGAGTAGAAAACCAGCTGAAAATGTTGTTACTAAATGTGTTATAGGAAAGTTCCAGAGTTCCCAAATATGAAAAATTAACATTTATAGTTCCCAAAGAAGAGGTTGATCAGTTATCTTCAGTTGAAATTGTATTGCCATCCAAAACATTAAGAGAGGCATGAGCAATCTTGGGCCAATCCTTGATGTTGGGACAGTAATAAAGGTCGAGATACCTTAAATGCTTCAAATTACCAATCCATTTCGGTAATACCTCGAATGTAGACCTCGAAAGATCGAGCATCCGCAACCGTTGGAAACTCTAGAGATATGTTTTGATAAAGGATTTGTCTGTAGGACCATTTCCAATATTTAGAGACCTAAGTGAACTCACATGCCCGAATTTATCAAGGAAATGGGAAGCATTTTCAACAGAAGTATCATGGTTAAGAAGCCATACGTGTAACTGGGGCAATATTTTGCTCAAAACAGTGTACTATACAACATTCATTCTTTGTAACAGATGATTCAATATCATGTAAAAGATCATGCATTTTGGATGTACCTAAAAACAACTGGTGATCATAATCTTGGAAAAGAGATCGGGACAGCAGGTCATTCAGATAACGTCTGCCGATATCATACGAATTCTCATTTGTTTTGGTGGATTCAAGAAGACCATGAACCAACCAAAATGTGATTAGCTCAAGTTCAGAGAAATCTAAATCCTTTGGGAAGATTGAGCAATAAGCAAAACATTGCTTCAGTTAAGGAGATAGTTGATCATAGCTTAGTTACAGAACAGAAAGGGTGTCATTATCTTTCTCTATTAATTCCCAAATTTCACTATTTTTAACAAGTTTCCACTACTACTAATGAGTGTTTAATTTCGTTATTCTTTAATTTTAATTACTCCTTGTTCGTCGATTTACGTTGTTAAGTCGGACATTTTCTTTTATTTTCTATGCAAGACATTGGATTCCAAAAACTATTCTAAAAATGACGAATTTTTGTAGTTTTTATTTTTCTGGAGTCAAGGCTGGACAAGTTGACATGACTTGGGGCATGAATCTGCTGACGTGGAGTCTAGTCAACACCTTTTAGAAGGTCCAGTCAACATTTTTTGTGGAATCAAAAGACCCAGCCACAAATTCATACTTGAATTTAGGAATTATCTTTATTTTTGAGATTTTATTCAAACAATTAAGGGAATTAACTATTGTGATTTTTAGGAATTATCTTGAGCATTTTTAGGATTTTACCTTGGGGTAAGCTTCAAACATATCTTTCACATTCGGGTTTTTACTTATTCTTGTTTACTTTAGTTTTATAAAATTTCTTTCTTTTTACGTTTGTTCTTTATTTATTCTAAAAGCTTTATTTATTTTAAAAATGCTAAGCATGATTTCTATCATGCTTAGCTATGTTTTTCATAGCCAAAGGCTAAAGCGATCGTCTTGTAGCACATTTGACTTCCTGTGAACAAACTTAAAGGTGATCCGCTAAGCAAAACTGAGATCAGATTTGATTCTCAGTGAGATTGTAACACCTCAAATTTTGGTCTAGTAGTTTTGGGTTTACCTGAGAGGTAAGTGGACCCCGTAGATTTCATGGTTTAAGTTTTTAGGCTTAATTGAGTTTTGATTAGGGCCCAATTAGTCACAAAAGGGTTTTTTTTAAAAACAAGTCCAAATGGGAGGGAGCAAAAGAGGAATTGGAGCATTGTTGGAATTTGAAGCTAAAAATTTGGGTTTTTATTTCATTTTGGACGTGGGTTCTCCCATTTCCTCTCCATCTTCTTCATTTCTCTTCTTTCTTCCTTCCCTCTCCAAGTCCATAGCAAGGTAAGATCTTGAGCTCTTTTATACTTCATTTTCGTCCTATTAAACCCCTCAGCAACCCCATTTTTGAAGATTCAAGCTTTGGGTTTTATTTTTGCAAGAAAAGATGAGTTTTCATCATCCAAACTTTAAGGAAAAGGATTGCTAGCTAAAGGAGGTTCATTTCGGGTTTCTAAAATGAACGTAGTGTGTTTCTAATCTTTTGGAGTATTAAGTTTTCATAAATCACAAGAAATTGAAAAGATTTGTGTAGTTGAGTACTTAGGGTTTCACTTTTGATTCATGCTATAAATCACAAATTTGTTGTTTAGTAACTGTTTTATGACACCTTAAGACCCTAAATAACTACCTATAACATTGGTGCATGATTTAGAATCAAACTATTGCCTTTATGATGAATTTTAATTGTTTTTCGAGCCTAAAATATCCATTCCAGGGTTTGAGTATCGATACTGGTGTCATAATTTCGCAAAAGAATGTATTTTTGGTATCGATACTGGTAATCATAATCTTGGAAAAGAGATCGGGACAACAGGTCATTCAGGTAACGTCTATCGATATCATAGGCATTCTAATTTGTTATGGTGGATTCAAGAAGACCATGAGCTAACCAAAATGTGATTAGATCAAGTTGAGAGAAATCTAAATCCTTTAGGAAGATTGAGCAATAAGCAAAACATTGCTTCAACTGAGGAGATAGTTGATCATAGCTTAGTTACATAACAGAAAGGGTGTATTATCTTTCTCCATTAATTCCCAAGTTTCACTATATTTGACAAGTTCCCACTCCTACTTATGAGTGTTTAATTTTGTTATTATTTTATTTTTAATTACTCATTGTTCGTCGGTTTATGTTTCTAAGTTGGACATTTTCTGTTATTTTCTATGCAGGACACTGGATTTCATAAATTAACTATTCTAAAAAGGGTGAATTTTTTAAGGTTTTATTTTTCTAGAGTCAAGGTTGGATCAATGGGCATGAATTGGGCAGGACTCCACTAACATGGTGTCTAGTCAACACCTTCTAGAAGGTCCAGTCAGCATTTTTGTGGAATCAAAAGACCCAGCCGCAAATTTAGACTTGAATTTAGGAATTATATTTATTTTTGAGATTTTATTCAAACAATTAAGAGAATTATCTTTTGTAATTTTTAGGTAATTATCTTTTGTAATTTTTAGGAATTATCTTGAGTATTTTTAGGGTTTTAAGAAGCTATAAATACACCTTGGGGGTAAGCTTCAAACATATCTTTCACCTTTGGGTTTTTACTTGTTCTTGTTTACTTTAGTTTATAATTTTTTTTCTTTTTCTTTCGTTTTTATTTATTTTAAAAGCTTTCTTCATTTTAAAAATGCTAAGCATGATTTCTATCATGCTTAGCTAAGTTTTTCATAGCCAAAGGCTAAAGCGATGACTCAATTCTAATTGTGAGAATTGAAAAACACTCAATACCCTTCGGGTTACATTTTCAGTTTTCTAGAATCAAGGATCAGTAATCGACTGTCCTTTTATAATTAAAATACTTTCAAACAAAAACAACTCGTTGGTTTTTTAGTTGTTTAGACTAATAGTTGGGAGGAAGGATCGGCTTGTAGCACATTCGACTT